ACCCGTACCCGACAGTTACACTCTATCTACAGTAATCTTCCCATTCCTTGAAACATATTTTGGGATTAATCCCCTCATGTGGTCTTCCTCTTTCACAGCTTCCAGAGCCGTTACTCACCTTTGACCATTACAACGACTTTATCAACGTGGGTAAGGAGATTCAGAGGCTTAGTGAAAAGGATCATGTTGCCGAGACTGCTGGGATTGTGGAGAGTATTGTGGTCAAACTCCGAGAGCTTACTAGTCGATTGCCTCTGTGTAACTACAAAACAGTGCAGCACATGACTGCCCACTTGAACAGGTACCGTACTGTCTGAAATTACATTAACGCTCATCTAAATGACATAGTTCGCTACTAATCCATCACTTTCTTCTCTTCAGAGTGGCAGAACAGTATGAAGACAACAAAATGTCTCCAGGAAACCTGGGCATCGTGTTTGGCCCCACGCTCCTGCGGCCCCTGGTGTCAGGGGACGTGTCGATGATCGCTCTCCTGGAAACCAGCTATCAGGCTCTTCTCGTGGAGTTCATGATCTCACACTATGACCAAGTATTCGGTTCCCCAACAAGATCCAGCACACCTCCGCCACCGCCTCCCACGGCACCCCTCCCAGACACCCCCCCAAGAGCTTCATGTCCCGTCTCTCCTGCCAGCGGTTCCTCACAGGACCCTGGAGCCGCGTCCAGGGAACGTCCACGCTCAATGGAGGTAGGCAACATGACACCACACAATCAGTAGCTCCACGCTAACATCATGTTCTAACCAGAAGAGACACAGTTTATGCGTGGACACTAGACTCGACACGGCTACCAGACGCGTCCAAATCAATCAAATATCACAGCCAATCAGAAGAGAGTGTGGGTGCGTTCTCTCTCTCTCTGCAAGTGCACTTAAAATCGCCATGCAATGGAAGTTGTGATAGTTGGTGCATTATTTACGAGTTGAATGCGCATGGACGCCACCGCAAAAGTCGTAATTTATCGTTTTCATAAATTAAATAAAAACATAAAAAAGCTAAACTTACCTGATGTGCATTCTTTGTTCTTCATTTTCTAGAAGTTGAGTTAAAAAAACCTTGCTGTGCTTTTGTGTGGCTAATTTAGAGAAGGTACACTGCCATCTTGCTCTGATTGGAGGTTTATTTTGATTAAAGATAGGAGAGCATATTTAAAAAAAAAAAAAAAAAAAAAGATGAATAATTTACAATAAATACTGCAATATAAGAATGGTCATTTTTGATTTCATGGCGACTTTACTTGCAATCAACTAGATAAATATTAAACCATTTTAATATCATTCAAAATAAATACTGAGTGACCGAAAACAATGTTTGTCGTAGAATACACTCGTTTGTTCACATTGAGTTCACACTTTAAACTTACTTGTTACCTTTCATTTATTTTCAAGATCTGAGTTGAATTATCCCGAAGTCACGCAAAATGATATTCAAACGCACATTAGACACTTTTAAGACTATATAAAGCACATTATCAGTCATAGTTTCTTATGTTGTGGTTCCAGCCGCAACGTCGCAGAAATGGAAACCGGGTCTATCGTTCGTTGCGTATCGCCGTACCGGCTGGTTAGAACAGAAACTCGGAAAAGACGCTGTGTGTTGCGCCGTCGCATCTGGTTAGAACACCGTGTAAGTCAAGTAAACACAGTCCGGCCGTTGTCACGATGATGCTGAAAGCTCGCCTCAGGTGGACGTGCTCGTGCGGGCGAAAGAGTTCATCTTGATCTGCTTGAGCCGCTATTGCTCTGCTTGGGCCTGAATTGTCCCGCCGTGCCCGTGGAAAGGCCTGGAGGGATTAAACGCTTACTCTGTGAAGATTACTTCTGCTTGCCTGTGTGCTTGTGCTTATGTCAGAGTCTTACCTCTGTCGCAAGGTGCTTTTAGTCAGTGCCGAGGCTCCTCAGCAACTACAGAAAAGCCTGGAGGATGGTATTAACTAGGATGGCTTCCTCTAATTAGAACAGTTGAACTTATTGATTAGCGAGTTTTAGACTGTTTTAGTAGGCTTCTCACAAATAGCGCTGGACTAACACATTTAATACTGCTAGCACTAACTGGCAGATATATATCATATTATAATAAATCCTATATAAGTTTGGGGTCTGTACATTTTTTTTTAATGTTTTTGAAGTCTCTTAAGCTCACCAAGGCTGCATTTATTTGATCAAAATACAGTAAAAACAGTATACTTTTATTACAATTTAAAATAACTGTTTTATATGTGAAAATATATTTAAATGTAATTTATTTCTGTGAACAAAGCTGGATTTTCAGCATCATTACTCACATGATCCTTCAGAAATCCTTCTAATATGATGATTTGCTGCTTAAGAAACATTAATTATTATCAATTTTGAAAACAGTTTTGCTGCTTGACATTTTCGGGGAAACATATATATATATATATATATATATAGCAATTTAATGCATTGTTTCCGAATAAAACTGTTAATTCATTAAAAAATAAAACCCCTCTTTTAACCCAAACTTTTAAAACGATTCCTGTGTAACCAGTTTACATTATAAATCTTTCAAATGTGTCGCTGACACTTTATCTACAATATAATACTACAATATGACAGTAATTTCAACATCTAAATGATCCATTAGTCAACTTATATTCAGAATTTTTATCATTTTAACAGAATCGCACTATCAAGAGAGATTCAAGCGAGGGTTATATTTCTGACAAGTCATCATCCAATGAAGCAATGGACCAGCTGAGCCCAGAAGCCAATGAGAGAGCAGGTAGGAGGGCTTTAAAAGACATTCAAATTCAATACCAGCTGGCTGCTTGCGCAAACTTTTTGCTCTGTGTTTCTGTGGCATTGCCGATCCTTTTTCTTCCTGTTGTCATAAGCAAACAAGTGATTTTTTTTTTGTTAGTCTAAAGCAGGGGTGTCCAAACTCGGTCCTGGAGGGCCACTGTCCTGCAGAGTTTAGCTCCAACCCCAATTAAACGCACCTGAAACAGCTAATCAAGGTCTTACTTCGCTGTTGAAGGTGTTGAGGCAAGTTGGAACTAAACTCTGCAGGACAGTGGCCATCCAGGACCGAGTTTGGACACCCCTGGTCTAAAGGATATGGAAATACATTTTAAAAGCATTCTGATTAATACAAAATCGCATTTTTTTATTCTATTGTTGCGAATAAACGTTCGATTTTGTTCTGTACATCTTCCAGTCCTGGCTATGAGGCCGACAGCGTCTCCTCAGGGGCATCCGGAGCAGGCTGCAGAAAGTCAACTACAAACTCAGTCGAGGGGTCACTTCAGCAGGCAGCCGGTCAAGTACTACAGACAGGGTTCGGCAGGAGCACTATTACACAAAGCAGACTCTCAGTCGCTGGACGAGGACAATTCTGGGAGCGGGGAAGGACTTGTGCCAGGAAGTGCAGACAGCAGCCGCAGCTCCTCTCCTGAGCCCGAGACCCCCATAACAACTCACTCACGATTACACGACACCCCTAGCCCGCAGGATAAGACTGGATGCACCCAGACTGCACCTCACACAAGGACAGTATCGGATGAGGGGGTTAAAGCAGTAGCTTCTTCATTCGAAGAACATGCGGGGCAAATGGACAAACGAAATACCAACCAATCGAACAACACCCTGGGGGGGAGAGAGCGCTTGATCCGATCCTTGAGGAGGCGTCCGACGGAGGAGAGGACGGCACAGAAGGGCCTGTCCGGACTGAGGCTAAAACGCAGTGATTCGGGGAAGGCCGAGCAGCTCCATTTTGTTTGACACTGACTGAAGCAGAGGCATGTTTACTTCACTGATGGGGTTCCTTAAATATCCCACTGGGATAAATCCCATTTTGTGCTGTAAAGCCAACAGTATTTTAGTAGGCTACGCGCTGTACATTTTTAGTTTCCCTGCTTTGTGGCGTATGACGTACAGTGTAGTTAAATCACAGTACAGATGGTAGTTTCCACTCTCACTGGAAATCTGGCACCGATTTACCTGTGTTTATTTGTTATTCATAGACAGCCTGTCTTGTATAGATGTATGATGCTGAAACATGACTCCTTTGGGATGAACATGCAATATATGGAAACAACAACAACAACAAACTGGCTTGTTTTGTTTTGTTTTGTTTTTTTCTGATTCTTTAAAACTGACATTCGACAATACATTTACTGACATTCTTCAAAATATCTTTTGTGTCCATTAGAAGAACATTTTATTCTACGTTATTATTTAGACCACATCAGGACCTTACCGCTTATCATGCTAATTGTCAATTCAGATTACTTGAGTTTACTTTAGCCTGTACATATGATGTAATACGCTGGCGCCACTAGATGGCAGACGCGACGCGTATGGACCTGCATTACATTTGATGACATGCTCTAGGGATAATTGGGCATATTAATTACCTCAAAAATGACTTTAACTTCCATACTAGCCATTGTTTTGTGAAATTTGCCTGTATTAAGCATTTCCCTACTGTAGCCCTTGAGCTATTTTACAAATTCATGCTTCTGTCATTGATTTTGTGTTAAAAGCACTCTCGGAATGTATATGTAGGGCTACACGATTATCTTATTTCATTTAGGCATATAGAGACTACGAGAACAAATGACACTTTTGATAATTAGCCTGTTGGCTTTCATCCGTTTTCAACCGTAAAATGACAAGTTCACTCACAACTTGAACACCAATTTGTTTGTAACTTTCATTGGGCCAATAGGCTATGTACAAAAATATGTCTTTCATCTCAAGTCTATTGTTCTTTAGGCTACATAGCTACATAAAATCTGAGATTATTATAGCTATTGCCTATGACTATGATGTATGGAATTTACCAATCTTTTCATTTAAAACAGCCTGTCATTCAGACAATAAACTATTTCTCTGAAGGGAAAACGGCGAGATACTCGTTGCCAGATACAATAGGTCTCTTCTACTTTGTAAATGCCCGTGTTTTCTTCTTCTTGCACCCCTCCTTCAGCAGTCATTGATTGTGCGCGCGCAGCCCGAGTCTTCACTCCATCATCACATAAAGCGCGCGCCTGAACGTCACACACAGTCTGGCGATGCTTTTGCGCCACTGCGTGTATTCTGGACTATAGCTAACACCAAAGTTTGGCTTTTGATGCACTGTTGCCCGTCCTCTTCTTCAAAGGTATTTTGATGTTACCAAAAGAAATCTCTGGAGGAGTGTGTTTCAGCGCAAGGTAAGCGCACGAGACACATCTGAGCATCACCTGCTCTACAGAATGACACAAATGATAGACTTGAACTTTTCTCTGTCGGCTCTTTCACTGTTCACAGAGAAACCTGCACGGCTTTAATAAACACTTTTAACACAGCCTAGCCAATTTTCCACTACGCTTTACATTTTACAGAAATGCTCAAGTTTTTATTCGAATAATGAATTTATTAATTTGCCTCTAACATATTCGTGGTAGTTAATAGACCTACCGTGTACGAATTTAGTAAAACTGTCAAACACTTGGCAAAGGTAAAGAAACTTCTCTCTTACAGCTATTTTATGAGTTCAGCTCAGGCCAGAAAATATGAAAAATTAAAGAGTCTGAATTTTAAATCTAACATTTACTAAATATATATATATATATTTAAACTCCCCGCAAGGACATATTTTTCATTAGCTTATTTTTTTTTATTTGGTAGCCTACCTAGACAATATAGCCTAAAACATGGGTTTTTAAAACTTGTTTAAAAATTGAGCACATGTTATAGATATAGGCTAGCCTATACGTCAGTCAATCACGTTTTGGTTTCCGTAAGTTTGTAAATTATTTGGTTTCGAGTAAAAAAAAAATATATAAAATTGACTTCATAATCAAGCGCCGCTTTTTCACTCATTAACAAAAAATCGATATTGTTCGTATTTACGCTATCACATCACAGAACAGCTCTCATGTCATGGACCATCTTCGATTGTAAATTAAAACTAAACTTTACCAAATTAAATGGACGCTATCAAAATAGGCCTATCAAACGATGTCACCAATAGCCTATCAACTTGCGTCAATTATTATGTCGTAAAATAATAATTGTTTATCGGCTTAGTAAAATACTTTGAGTCATTAGTTTATTTTTTCTGTCAAACTATTAGACATTTAGGCCTAGATCGCAGCAATTAAACCAAAATATCCTGTTCTCATACGACAAAAGTTAGGCTATAGCCTACGTACATTTAACAGACAGTAGCCTAGGCTATTAAAATACATTCTACAGAGTTTGATCACATTTATAGCTAGGCCTTCGTAAAAATAAAAATGCTGACACGTTGCAGGCAAACGCGAATAGCCTATCACAGAGTGATTATTCCTCAATGAGACAGAGTAGTGAGACTGATGACCCGCGATTAACTCCTGTATTTTTAATAATCATCTCATGCAATTAACTGCATTATTAATGGGGAAGGAGATCAGACACGCAGCGTGTGCATGTGATTTCAGCCATGGGGAAAATGCAACTTTTCAATTGTCAGGGAAATGGGTGTTAGGCAGAAATAAACAGAATGATGGTGATTTATAATAATATATTTTTTAAACACCAACAAAAAAATATAACTACAATATTCTAAAATCAATTAAACACAACGAAATAGCCTACAAAAAAATAGGATTTTGATTTCCCTATTTTTCTGACGTTTTGCAGACATCAGATTAATTTAGTGTAAATCTCGACGCCTTTTAATTCTAAAGTACAATAATCATAGCATTAACGACAACCGGTATGGGTTATTGATTGAAATATGAGTGCGACGGCTTTAGACCGGAAAAGACTTGATTTTTTTTTTTTTTCTATTGTTTCTTTTTGCCAAATAGCAAAGCGTTTGCGAGTGTATCCAGTCGCTACCGAAGCCGCGCGCCTTCTCCACCGGACGCTTCACCTGCACGAGCTCCCGAACACATGTTGAGCAGTGAGACAAAAAAACAAAACATGCACCAAACAAATTAGAGAAAAGAGTAGGCCTATACACTGTAAATAAATAAATGTACCCTACATACCGGTAGCCTAAAATAAAAAAGCATGGCAGCGTCGACGCAGAACTTGGCATTGTTCCAAGCATTTAGATTACATTTATAGCTCTTCTTGACCTTATATGTCTTTAAACCATATAGGCTAGTGTTGGTAGGCTATATACTAACATATTGGCCTATTTTTATATATATATTTATATTAATATATATTTTTTGTGTAAAACCTACTGAAAATAACAGTGACTTAAAGGTCAACAAAACTGTCTTCTCCAGCAATCCTGAGCATTGGTAACATTACTGACACACACAAAACACCTTCAGTGTTAAACATATGTCTAAAATATTGCAGTAAACATTAATTAAACGTCACACAATGCAACATAAAGCACCCCTTTATACATAATCATAACAAAATACGATTTTTTTTAATGTAACTGACAAATTTAAATGTGATGACAAATGTGATGTAGCCTATCCTTCCTGAAGGGAATATCCCCTACATTATAAGACACTTTTTACTTATATAATTTCAGCAATATTGTTCCAAGAAAGTATTATTTTTTAAGGCTATATATTTCACATCTATATGCTATGTTTATCATACACACATACATCTATTACAGTGTATTTACAATACAATTACATGTATTTTTAAATATTATATTTTTCATTTTATAATGGTATGGTAACTTACAGTCAACCAATTTTTACCCTAAACCCCTTTTTTTGTAACTAAAATTTCGAATGTATTTCAGTGCACATTAAAAACGAACCCACACCGGACATGATTTAGTCTTTTGCTAATGAAACGAATGATGCTCTGTTTCCTCACACATTATACTGCAATCATATAAATATCTTCAAAGTAACACTTTAAATCACTGTGTGTGCATTTTACTCACAGTACATGTAAATATAATGAATAAAATGTGACAATTACAATGAGCAGTTACAAGCAGCTCACAATAATTTCATATAACCGCATCTGATTGCACTCTCCATATGTGAGTTTTCTTTGTTACGTTGTTGGCCTTCAGTCAGCACTCAAAAGACGGAAGGAACGGAATGAAAACAGAAGAAAACCAATCATGTCTTCAGCAGGCCCCCTCTGCCACGCCTTACGGTGAATACTCTGCCTAATGAACCCACAACATATTAAAGAACACAAAGCTTTGTTTTAATATCCGGGTATCATTACTTAATCTTTACCTATGGATGCTGTAATGTGTGTGTATTGAGTCTCTCGTGGCACATTTGTTTGTGTCCTGTCATCTGACACCTGTGCTGTTCTTCTCCATCAGAGCATGTGGGAGGAGGCGAGGTGTGTGCAGGGTGCGAGTCTCCCATCGCCGACCGCTTCCTCCTGCGCGTCAATGAACTGTCCTGGCATGAGACGTGTGTCAAGTGTGCGGTGTGTCGCAGCGCGCTGAGTGGGACCTGCTACTGCCGGGACCGCTTGCTTTACTGCAAGCATGACTATGAGAAGTAAGACACAGTTCGATCTGCATCCTGCGCCTCTATACACTGAATCAAAGTCCTAGTTTGGAAAAGCATCCCATTTTCGGGGTACTGTCTGTAGGTCGACATGTAGTGCACCAGAACATTCCTCGAGCTCTCTATAAAAGTGTGTTTAGTCTGATCGTGCTGTGATGTTATTGTGGAATATAACACATTTCCTTTAGCAAATGTAAGGTTGGGTAGACCTTTTGTTATACTGGTTGAAACGCTCTTCACGTCCTGATAGCAATCTATAATAGAAGTGGTCTAAATATTGAAACATGTACATATCTTCTGTGGAAGCCTTTGGACCAAAACATGTTTGTCCAATCATTCACTGTAAAAAAAAAATCTGTAGAAATTACAGTATTACTGGCAGCTGCTTGCCAGTAACTTACTGTTTTAAATTGAGGTTATTTACTGGCAACAGTTTGTTCAAAGTTAAATGAACATTAAACATTAACAAGTCTTTATCTTTACAGAATAAAACTAAAATAACAGCCTCATGCAAAGCATTCTGGGAACCAAAATCTGAAGGGGAAAAAAAAACAGAAAAAGGTTGATGATGAAGATTTCTGGTTCCCAGAATGCTTTGCATTAGATTGTTATTTTATCATTTTATTCTGTAAAGACAAAGACTTGTTAATGTTTAATGTTCATTTAACTTTGAACAAACTGTTGCCAGTAAATATACATCAATTTAAATCTACAGTAAGTTACTGGGAAACAGCTGCATAACTACAGCAATTTTTTTACAGTGTTGCATTCGGTCCGAATACAACATGTATGTCCATACCTCCGCGCACCTGCTCACGCAGACATCACACGGCATCAGTGCGTTTCATGCTATGCAGAGTTCCCTTAAAATCAGGTCTCCGTTAGGACCCCAAGCGATCCCATTGGCTCAAATTACTTTTAATAGGTACTCTCTTTAGCGCCTGCAAATCTTTTAAAATCATGTTATGATAAATGCTGTTTGAACTACGTTAATATGACCATTGATTAGCTTATAGCATAGCATACAGATACCCGATTAGCCTGATAGCTTATTTGCACATGTATTTTTAATGTAATTATGTGTTAAATTATGTGTAACATGTCCAAATATTTCAGTTATAACAATAATCCAGTGATATTCACTTAATAGGTTGTTATTTATTAATTAACAGTTTATCGAGGGAAAGAAATTAAGTTCAAATTATGTAGTAAGCTATACATATTTTAAAAATTGATATAGTACATGTATAATATAGTATAATCATCAACTGGTTGATAGAGACCCGATTTCGAGGGAGGACTCGATTTGTCATGACACGTCAAACAAACGGCAGCATCATCAACGCCGAAATGAATCTGCAGCAGTCAGGTGGTACAATTCAGAGCGGTTTAAGTTGTTTACTTTCATTATTATTGTAATGTTGTGTGCTTTGAGGCATGAGGTAGTTTAACGGCGTCTCTTTGCAGATACTCTTGCTGCGTGCGTTCATGTGTTTTGGAGGAGCTGTGACTTTAGAGAGCTCTGCTTTAAATATTGGTGGTACGTTTAGTTGATGTATTAGCATGGAGAAAGTCGCCGTGATAATGTCACTGGAGATATGGCGAGTACAATTGCCATTTTTGACATGATGAAAAAGAGAGGAGGAAAGAAAGGACAATGATGTATGTCCGTAAGACCGTAAGACCTTTTTTTCTCCTCCACTGACTTGTAAGACGTCAGACGCACATGCACGTTCATAAGATGTATACATACACACATCAGGGCACTGTATTTTGTAAATCTGATTGAGAAAAAAGTCAGAATCAAGTGTTTACATGCTTAATGTTTTCCTTATGATTGGATTATTTTAGGTCTATACCAACACTTTCAATCCCATCATACCTTTCACTTTCATTCAGATCAAACTCAATCAGACCAATCAAGGTGTTTACATGGTAAATGGACTGCATTTATATAGCGCTTTCACAGACCCAGTGGCCACCAAAGCGCTTTACATATTGCCTCACATTCACCCATTGACTCACTCATTCATACACCGACATGAAGGCTTTTAAAGTCCAATTGGGCCATTAGTCTGATTATAAACGGATTATTTGAGTGCACGTATACCGGTACGTAGTCTTTTACTCACACTCATATTATTCCAAACCCAAAATTCTGTAGAAAACAAAAGAGGAAACCTGATGAACCATTAAAGCAGTTCATATGATTCGTGCACTATATTCCAAGTCATTGGAATGACTTCAGATAAGTGAATAAAGACAGAATTGACATTTTTCTCGGAGGAATCAGTCTGTATCTGTTTGGGTCAGAGGGAGATTCCGAGCAACCATAATTCGTCAGTGACATCACCAGGAGTGCGGACAGTTGAAGGGCGATTTTGTGGCCTGTTATCACTGTTATGAGAAGTGTCAGACACTGCTGAGAAGTGTGGACACTCCCTCTGTTGCTGACATCTGGAGGCCAACAGAAAGAAACAAGAAGGACAGGAGAGAATGAAAGAAGATGGAAAAGTAAGGTGGAAGAATTCCCAAAGGGAATATGAAATAATTCTATATGTTCTTGGAAAGATAGATCACCTGAGATCCAGGACTGTTCCAGGGTATGAAATTTACCATATTAACTGACATTGCTTTTCTTGACACCGTTGAAGAAAAATGGGACAATAGATTTGATAATCGTTGTGCATAAGGGCTTGCAGCGAGGATGTCATAATGAGGGTAAAAGTGATCAACGATTACAAATGAGAAGGTTGTTCTGGGATCGTAGCACGGTAAAACTGTAGGCTGGTACTGTTATTCCCATGAGCTTGATAATTTGTATCATCAGACAGACTTTTTCCACTATTCTGAAATGGTGGATTTTCCTTTAAAGGAGTCATAAGATGCTATTTTAAAAGGTCATTATTTTGTTTACTGGGTGTTAATGTCCAAAAGACATATTATTTTTTATTGCAGCACCTCTATTCCCAGTCTGTCTGAAACGCTCTGATTGAGTTCAGAAAAAAGCCCCTCCTTCCGAAAAGCCCACAGCATGCCCTGATTGGCCAGCTGACCCCATGGTTTGTGATCGGTCAAAGATTTCAAGCCTGTGTCAGAAATGGAACACCCCTTTACCATAAGCGCGAACCTCAGCTTCCATGGCTTCTAAAGCAACTGTAAACCCACAGTTATTAATTTCGTTGGTTTTACCGTATCGGTTTGATCCCGAGTCAGCAAAATGACATGGAAATACATGTTTGTTACAGCAGCCTCTCTGATATCTTGAGTAGATTAATCAGCAGAAGTTATTATTACTTGCTGAACCACTGTTGTTCAAAATGACAGAGGTGCGACCATTACTACGAGGTAAGAGAGTACTACGTTTCAGAAACAGTCATAGTTGGTTAGTTTCTTCAAGGATGCATCGAACTACGGTAATTAATCAGTGAGTTACAACGCTGTACGGGAAACGCACATGCCACAACATGGCGACATCACTGAAGCCTCGCCTTCTTTCTTTCCATATGCCTATGGGCGGGCATTATGCTAACATGTCACATTGTGGCGTACACTGTAAAAAATGATCGTGATTTTAACAGATATTAATACTTCAATAGGTTGGTAAATTATCATTATGTCAGATAATGAATTACGGTTTAATACTGTACATTTTACGTTAAGACTGTAAAACCAAAACCGTTGATACCGTATTTTTGACGGTAAAGTTCTGGTAACCACAGCTGCCAGTTTTTTTTCCGTAAAAACAACGGGATTTTTTTTACAGTGTAGACGTTTGCGAAAGTAGGATCGAGGCGTTTTAGGCAGGTCTGGATCAATGGTTCTCTGTTACATAGTGAATAAACCTCTTTCTGGGAGACTATGAGCGTTATGACTTTGCAGATCTGATACATGCACAATCAGATACAGTCCACACTAAAGGAAAAGGAAAAGCATAAAAAAGCATCTTATGGCCTCTTTAAAGACTTAACTTTCTCTCATCTCATCCCATATGCCAAGAAAGTAAGAAAAGTACAGGGAAAGGTTTGGTTTGCAGATGTTATTTGTGGATATTGAGGCTGCAGCGTGTGGTATGTGGTGTATTTGTGGAGGAAACTTGGCACACTCTTGTGCGGCTGACCTTGAGTGAATCCACAACAATGTCTCCTTGTGTTCTCTGCGGTCTGTCCGTCAGCACACACCTGCCTCTTTACCCCTGCTCGGTCTACAGCAGGTGTGTGCTCCATTTTTTGGGGTGCCAAGGAATCTTTGATGGTGTAAAAAAAAAAAGAAGGAATTTGGGCAACAACAAAAAAAGAAGCTTTCTTGTGCTAACATTCTACTGTAAAAATGACTTAGAAAATGTTATTTAAAATAACTGAATCATAATGCCAATAAAAGTTAGTTGAGGTAGAAATGGTCCCTTAAACAGCACTGACAACACATTTTAGTTTCATAATATGCGTTTACAAGTGAAAATACTTCCGTATTGTGCCGTGTCTCCGAGTGAAACGGTTTATCGGAAAAGAGAAAAAAGGAGGTTGGGCACTTGGCTCTATCCATCGGTTGTTGATTGGATGAAGGGAGATCTGAATGTGAGTCGATTGTAAGAAAGAGGTGGAGTTTAAGTGGACAAAGTGATTGGAGAAGTTCTGCAAACGTCACCAGAGAGAAATACAAGTAAAAAATCAAACGCGTCTATGATCAACAAGATCAACATTTACATGCATTTAGTAAATAGCCGACTTTAATTGGATCATCAAAAGTTGACGTAAAATACCAAAATGTAATGATTGAGAAAAGGGGTTGTAAAAGGGATTTGTTTCAAAGGACTTTTTAATAAAAGATTACTAACAAAAATAATTTAACTTGGAATAATGCACACAGTAATGTAACAAACATGCAAAGAGCATCCATTTTTAGATCACAAATGATTATATTTATTTCACGAGTTCGCCTGTTCATCCAGTCCTGATAGCTTGGCTTGCTGTCCTCGAAGGAGGCTTGATCCA